TCCCCATTTTCCTCATTCTAACTCAGCTTTCTACTGGGGCTAGAGTCCAGGGCATCTGACTCCCAGTCCGGTGAGCTCCACAATGCACCACTCTGCTTCCTCCTCTGTCTACACTGCAAATTAAGGCAGAAAAGCAGCAGGTACTACCATCCCTTGTATAAAACTTGTGAAAGCACTGAATAAAATACAGTTTCAACTTTAAAGTCTTTGTGACTTTAAGGCAAGGGAAACACAACATAGCTTAAGAAATGTGAAAAGTGTTCAGCCAAGTGTCTGAGCACAAACCAAGAAAACAAAGATAGCACTTATGTGAGCAGACACAACTCAGGTAGCAATGAAATGCTGATGAGATTCCAAGTTCAGTCCACAATCTGGAAATACAAAATTAGACATTTTATATTGGTATGAAGAACCTACAGGAGCTCCAAAAACTGTCAATGGTACTCATTAGCAATAGGGCTTACCCTGCTTTCTTAAATACACAAAGAGCAAGGCCTGACCCAATGCTAGGTACTAACTTGATACTTACAAAAAATGTTCTACTCCCCAACATAAGATACTGATTTTGACTGTGGGGATAGGGGGTCATTGGCAGAGAAAAAAAAATCCCCTACTCCATGCTACTACAGTACACATCATAATATATAGCCCAATAATAACTGATATCTACTGGGCACCTATATGTCCGAGCTACTAAACTATATTCTACATACCTTAACATCATTTAATCTTTACAACAAATTAATGAGGTGTACACCATTACCCCCATTTTTCAGAAGAGAGCACTGAGGCCCAGAAACCTTAAGCCCGAGATTCATAGACAGTAAATGATGGCCGTAAGATTTGAACTCAAGTCTCTCCGACTCCACGATCAGTTTTTTGATGAGTTTCTCACAGTTCCCAGTGACTCAGTCCAGAAAACCGTGAATTACTCTAGACATAATGTATTGGTAATAATACAGTTTTTCCTTAATGTGTTTCACCTACCATCACTACCCAATCAGTGACTAGTATCTGTTAATTTACTGCCTAAATAATACCCACCCCTTCCCCACACACAATCTTACCTTAAAAATGACTGCATATCTCTTATTGAAGTCTTTCTGCTTTCTGTCTGATCCTCTCCAATCCATAAATTACACAAGACCCCAGAGGAATTCTATCTAAAATATTTGCTTCTATAACTCTTTTCTTAAGACTTTTTAGTAATTCACTATGGTCTACAGCAGTGCCTAATTCATTGATGCAAGGGAATCCCCAGAGGAGGTACAGAGCTCTGATCCCACCCTAACTTAGCCCAGAGTTGTCTGAATCTGAAGCTACAGGTAGACCTGAGCATCTGTAATTTTGCGTTAATGATCTTAGGCAGGCACTAAAAATCACTTGGCCTACAGGATACAAATTCAAAGCATTAGCTTGACGTTCAAGGCCTATGTGCTAGGTCCTTACATCTTCCACTAACTTTCCCATATGACCTTTGAGCCATACTACCCTGTTTCATTTCCTCTGTCTTAACTCTATTTTACCCCTCTGTGTCTTGGCTTACATAGCCATTCCCTCCGAATGGAATGACCTTGCACTGCTCTCATCCATTTGTCTCTCATTCTATGTTATCTCATAATTCAGGTCCCAGCTTAAGAGGCCATCACCTACACCATGAAGCCCTTTAAAAAAAAAAAAGATTTAATTTACTTGAGAGAGAGAAAAGCAGACTGCCCACTAAGCAGAGAGCCCAATGCAGAACCTGATCCCAGGACCCTAAGATCATGACTGGAGCTGAAGGCAGACGCCCAAGCAATTGAGCCAACCAGGTGCCCTCATGAAACCTTCTTGACTATCCCCTAGATGGAATATGATCACACCCCCAACTTGTACAGTCTTCTTTCGGAAGCACCTATAATGTTTCATATCACAAATAAATAATCTATGTATATATCTGTTTCTCATCCATCATGTGGTCTTTATTGATGAATTTCCAGTGTCTGGCCTAGATACTGTCTAAGCACTTCCTGTTAAATCACCTCCCTCTTTCTTTCCTCCTTGATTTACTCTTAAGCCTCACAATAAATTAAAAAAAAATAGCCACATCGCCTTTTAAACAATATCTCAATTTGAAGGCCAAGATATATCCTAAACAACGTTTGAGTCCTAATTAGGACACTGCTAAAATCTATCAGATAAATGAAAACCTCTCTTAAAATATATCAAATATCTCTCTCTCTCTGCCTGCCTCTCTACCTACTTGTGATCTCTCTCTATCAAATAAATAAATAAATAAAATCTTTAAAAAAAACTGGGGCTCAGTGGGTTTAAGCCACTGCCTTTGGCTCAGGTAGTGATCTCAGGGTCCTGGGATTGAGCGCCGTGTCGGGCTCTCTGCTCAGCAGGGAGCCTGCTTCTCTCTCTCTGCCTGCCTCTCTACTTACTTATGATCTCTATCTGTCAAATAAATAAATAAATAAATAAAATCTTTTTTAAAAAAATACCAAATGTTTAACATCTATTTGATCATAGTATCTTCCACTTCCTGCCTACAAATTCTTCCTCATATCTAAGCCAAATCCCTGAGATTATTTTTCCCTCTGTCCTCAACAGAAAGAAAGATACTTCTTGACATACCCTTACCTTACCTTACTTTCTTTCTATATCACAAGCTGAACAAAATGTAATCTAGGATCAAACCTGAGAAAGAAAATGTGTCATACTTGGCATCATTTTGAACTAGGTTAAAGTGAAGTAGTTAAGAGCTGGTGCAACAGTAGATAAACATAATGAATTGTTCAACTTGAAGAACAAGCTCTTTCCATTCTGCAAAGTGATCATGTGGTCTCTAACACAGTACCTTCCTAGCTCCCCTCTGCCATTATTATGAACACATAAGTTGCTGCCAGACAGAGTCGTTCTCCCTTATCCCTGGCCACTGTTTACTTTCCTCCACAGTTTCTTCTCTGGAATCCACTTTGGTATACTAGTCTAGGAGTTGGAAGCCTGAGATTCCATCATAAATTGTGATATTAACTTGTTGCCGTAACAACCATGGACCAGTCACATTTTATTCTGACCTTCAGTTTTCTCATCTTATAAAACCTACATTAGCAGAGCACTTCAAGAACATAAAGCACACTGATATACATTTATCTCATGAGTTCTGCATAACCACTCTGAGGCAGACTTAGGGAGATGACTCAGGGGAAGTTTGGGAAGGTTAAGTAAGTTGTCTTAAGTGGAATACCTATGAAGTAGTAGAGTTGTAATTTGAGCTCTGGTTTTAATTCCTAATCTGGTACTCTTTCTAATATACCAAGCTGCCTTGTGGTATCTATAAAATAAGGGTGTTAGATTAGTGATATTTAATTTAACAACAATTTAACAATTGAATTTAACAAATAATTTAACAACAATTATATGAATAGCATTTCATAAATTTTAAAATACCTTCATGTTCATTATCATCCATTCTGTCAGTAAGAATGTATTCAGTACCTACCATAAACCAGGCACCTTTAGATTAGGTATATGGTGATGAAAAAGTCAGAAAAAAGTGACTGACTGCCTTTAGGAAGCTTCCATTTGGGGGGAGGTGCCTGAAACAAGCCTATAAAGCCTCAAAAAATCATTTCAGCTACTGATAAGTACAGCAGGGTAAGGAGATACATAGTTGAATAATAAGTATCTTTTTTTAAAAGATTTTATTTATTTATTTGACAGACACAGATCACAAGTAGGCAGAGAGAGAGAAGGAAGCAGTCTCCCTGCTGAGCGAGAGCCCGATGCAGGGTTCGATCCCTGTATCCTGGGATCATGACCTGAGCCAAAGGCAGAGAATTTAACCCACTGAGCCACCCAAGCTCCCCGACTAATAAGTATCTTATTTAATTTCCCTAACAATCCTGCCGTATACAGATTTTCCTTAACCCCATTCTCCAGATGAGCAAAAGGAGTCAGAGGAGCTAAGCCAGTGATTGACAGAGCTAGGCCAAGACACAGTAACTTCTGACTATGTGTTACATGCTCCTTCCATTCTGCTGCCTTACTCCTGGTACTAGTTTTCTAGGATTCCATGATTTAGTCTCCAAATAACTGACTCTTCAATAATGTCCTATCTCTGAAGGACAATGAGACATAGGCTAAATGCTCTGTGATTGTGAAATAAGGAGCACCATACAGTTAGCTTTCAAAGCAGAACCAGGTTGTAGGTTCACTTGTTTATCTCTATCAATTCATTGAATAGCAGAATTTTTTGTTTATTGTTCTGCCCCCAGTGCCTAGCACATGGCTTGACTCCTAAGTAGTGTTTGCTAAATATTTACTGATCCCAGGGGTGCCTCTGTGGCTCAGAGAGTTAGGCGGCCGACTTGATTTCAGTTCAGGTCGTGATGTCATGGGTTGTGGGACTGAGCTCTGCACGGGGCTCCAGACTCAGGGAGAAGTCTTCTTGAAGATTCTCTCCCTATTCCCCTCTTCTCAATCACATGTGAACTCTCTAAGATAAATATATAAACCTTTAAAAAATATTTACTGAACTTGTGAATGAATGAATGAATGAGCAAACTAATGAACTAATGAGAAAATAAATTAACATAGCTTGCAGAAAACTAGCTTAGTGTGTTCCTGGCAAAGGAAACAGTTTAACCCTGGACCCCTCCTGAGAAGCAAGCTTCAGCTGCTTTCTCCTAGGAGCAAACAGGCATGACAAAACACCAGGTGGGAGCTGGCATCTGAGGGTGAGAAAAAAGGAAACTTCGTACTATAAGAAACATAACCAGGTAAGTTGAAAATGAAATGGTTTTTGCATTTTTGAAGTTGAAAAGGGCAATATTCTATCTGATGAGGACTAGAGTGGTCTGGAGACCTTTCATGGAGCTAAGTAATACTGGTTGCCTAGGGGTCCTGTGCTCCACTTTCATTAAATGTCCAAAACAGAACCAACCAATCAGTCAATATCCTAAACACAATTTGCCTAGATGTTAATATCATATACATATAAAAACAGAGTGGTCCCATGCTCACTTCAGTAGTACTAAAATTGGAACATTACAGAGAAGATTAGCATGGCCCCTGTGCAAGAATGGCATGCAAATTAGTGAAGGGTTCCATATTAAAAAAACAAAACAAAGCAAAACAGTGGTCTCTACACATCTACAACAGACTTGGATAGCGACAAGAAAAAAATACCCACGTAAAGGAAGAAAGCTAGTATTTAATTAACACCACATGCCAATACCATGACACCTATAGCACACTTACTGAGCAACTATAGATCCCATCTATGAAATGGAGATAGCCACAACATCTACCCACCTGGTTGTTATGTGGATTAAGTGAGCTAATTCATGTTAGATGTACATGGTATGTAATACACATTGAGGAACAAAACAAGATGTTACAGCACACCACCATCATCATAATCATTTTATTGTCATTATCACCATCTTCTATGTGCAGTCTATATTTTATATGCTTTCATACCAATTATCATAATGTATCTTTTCCACAACCTTGCATGGCAGAAATGATAGATGGAAGACACTAAAGCACAGTGAAACATCATAAGTTGTCTAAGGTTCTGCAGTTGGAAAGAAACACATCAAGAAGTAATAACTAGTAAAGATGGCAGAGGAGTAGGAGACCTAAATTTCATCCGGTCCCCGGAATTCAGATAGTTATTAAACCGTTCTGAACACCTATGAACTCCACAGGAGATCGAAGAGAAGAATAGCAGCAACTCTATGAACAGAAAAGTGACTACTTTCTGGAACGTAGGACATGTGGAGAAGTGAATCTCAGGCGACATATGAGAAGACAGACCATGGCAGGAGGGAACCTCTGTCAGTCAGCTCCTGGCACATGATAGAGCAGCAAAGCACAAGATCAGAACTTCTAAAAGTCTGCTCCACTGAGGGACATCGCTCCAGTGGCTAAGCAGGGGGTGGAGCCCTCACTGAGATAGTGTGGTCTCAGGGCCCTCAGTGTCACAGAAAGATGAAGGGTGCCTGAGTGTGGCAGAGCTGCCAGGTATCAGAGCAGAGAAGCCGGCTGCAAAGACAGAGCTGAGGATTGGGATCTCAGCTCGGGGTTGCCATAAACTGTGATCCAAAGCATAGTTGGGCCACTTCTCTTCCAGTGGGCATCCACCAAGTGGCAGATCTGGGGAGACCCCCCACCTTCTGCCACTGGGAGAAGTGGCACAGGAGCATGCTGCAGGAATCTGCTGGGTTTGGAGACTCCAAACAGGGCTGTGTGCCAGAGATAGAAACACTTGGTCACAGGTCAGGTGAGCATGGATGGGGGCCAGAGACCAGGGAGACAGGAGTGTTTGAATGTTTTTCTCTGAGGGTTTACTGAGGAGTGGGGCCCCCAAGCTCGGGGCTCCTCTGGGCCAGATATTGGGAGGTAGCCATTTTCATTCTCATCCTCCAAAGCTATACGGAAAGCATTCAGGAAACAAAAACTACCAAGAGCAAACCCCAGCAGATTACTTAGCCTGGCCCCTGGCAAGGGTGGTGCAATTCTGTCTGGGGCAAAGACACTTGAGAATCAGAGCAACAGGCCAGTCCCCCAGAAGATCAGCAAGAATATCCAACCAAGACCAAGTTTACCAAGCAGTGAAAACTGCAAAAATCCAGCACTAGAGCAATATAGCACATAGAATTCATGGCTTTTTTTCCCATGATTCTTTAGTCTTTCAAAGTTAAATTGTAATTTTCTTTATTTTTTCTTTCTTTGCTTTTTTGAATTTTCCCCCTTTCCTATTTTAACCAAAATCTTATCAATACCTTTTAAAAAAAATCTTTTTTTAATTTTCATTTTTAAAGTCATATTCTATCCCTTCATTATATTTAGCCTTATTTTTTGTGTACATATAAGTCTTTCTTTCTTTAAAATTTTGGGATACAGTTTCTTCTAACACCAAAATATACCCTAAATCTAGTGTATGTCTTTGTTCTAGCCTCCCTCCAGATCACAAGCTCTACCGTTTTTAAATTTTTTTCTTTCTCTTTTCAACCTTCTTATCTTATCAATTCCTTTTTAATTATTTTTTCAATTTTCATATTCACAGTTATATTCCATCCCTTCATCATATTTACTCTTATTTTTGGGTATATATATATATGTGTGTGTGTGTGTGTATATATATACATGCTTTTCTGCCTTTAAAATTTTGGGAAGCAGTTTCTTCTAATGGACCAAATTACACCCAAAATCTAGTGTGTGGCTCTGTTCTATTCACCAGCCTGATCATATTTTTTATTCCTTTCTTTTCCCCCTGGTTGGGGGACTCCTCTGATTTGTTTAGTGTATATTTTTCTGGATTCGTTGTTACCCATTTTGTTCTCTCATTCATCTATTCTTCTCTGGACAAAATGACAAAACAGAAAAACTCACCTCAAAAAAAAAAAAAAAAAACAAGAGGTAATACCAAATGCCAGGGACATAATCAATATAGACATTAGTAAGATGTTGGAACCAGAGTTCAAAATGACAATTATAAAGATATTAGCTGGGCTTGAAAAAAGCATAGAAAATACTACAGAACCCCTTTCAGGAGAAATAAAAGATCTAAAATCTAACCAAGTCAAAATAAAAAGAGACTATTAATGAGATACAATAAAAAATGGAGGCTCTTACTGCTAGGATAAACAAGGCAGAAGAGAGGATTAGTGATATAGAAGACCAAATGATGGAGAATAAAGAAGATGAGAAAAAGAGAGCTAAACAACTACTGGATCATAAGGGAAGAATTGGAGAGATAGATGATACCATAAGATAAACAGAATAACTGGGATCCCAGAAGAAGAAAGAGAGAGTGGGACAGGAGGTATATTGGAGCAAATTAGCAGAGAACTTCCCTAATTTGGGGAAAGAAACAGGCATCAAAATCCATGAGGCATAAAGAATCCCCCTCAAAATCAGTAAAAATAGGTTGACACCTGGTCATCTAATAGTGAAACTTACAAGTGTCAGAGACAATGAAAATCCTGAAAGCAGCTTGAGGCAAGAGGTCTGTGACCTACAATGGTAGAAATATTAGACTGGCAGCATACCTATCCACAGAGACCTGGCAGGCCAGAAAGGACTGGCATAATATATTCAGAGCCCTAAACAAGAAAAATATGCAGCCAAGAATGCTACATCCAGTTTGGCTGTCATTGAAAACAGAAGGAGATATAAATATCTTCCAGGACAAACAAAAACCAGAAGAATTCACAAATACCAAATCAGCCCTATGGAAATACTGAAAGGGGCCTCTCAGCAAAAAGAGAACCTATAAGTAACAGACACCAAAAAGGAACAGAGAAAATATACAGTAACAGTCACCTAACAGGCAGTACAATGGCACTGAATTCTTATCTTTCAATAGTTACCCTGAATGTAAATTGGCTAAATACCCCAATTAAAAGAGACAGGGTATCAGAATGGATAAAAAACAAAAACAAAAACAAAACGAAACAAACAAACAAACAAAAATCCCAAGACCCATTGATATGCTGTCTGCAAGAGACTCTTGGGACCCAAAACACCTCCATATTTCAAGTGAGGGGGTGGAAAACCATTTACCACGCTAACCGATAGCCAAAGAAAGCTGGGGTGGCAATCCTTATATAAGACAAATTAGATTTTAAACACAAGATCATAATAAGAGATGAGGAAGGACACTATATCTTATTTAAAGGGTCTGTCCAACAAGAAGATTGAACAATTTTAAATATTTATGCCCCTAACATGGGAGCAGCCAGCTACATAAAGCAATTAATAACAAAATCAAAGAAACACATCAACAATAATACAATAATAGTAGGGGACTTTAAAACCCCCCTCATTGAAATGGACCAATCATCTAAACAAAAGATCAACAAGGAAATAAAGGATTTAAATGACACACTGGGCCAGATGGACATCACAAATATATTCAGAACATTCCATCCCCAAGCAACAGAATACACTAACTCTTTTTTAGTGCACGTGGAACATTCTCCAGAATAGATCACATCCTGGGTCACAAATCAGGTCTCAACCAGTACCAAAAGATGGCAATCATTCCCTGCTTATTGTCAGACCACAATGTTTTGAAACTAGAACTCAATCACAAGAAAGTTAGAAAGAACTCAAATACATGGAGGCTAAAAAGCATTCTACTGAAAAATGAATGGGTCAAACAGAAAATTAAAGAAGAATTTTAAAAAATCATGGAAACGAATGAAAATGAAAATACAACTGTTCAAAGTCTTTGGGATGAAGCAAAGGTGATCTTAAGAGTAAAGTATAGGACGCCTGGGTGGCTCAGTGGGTTAAAGCCTCTGCCTTTGGCTCAGGTCATGATCTCAGGGTCCAGGGATCGAGCCCCACATTGGGCTCCCTGCCCACTGGGGAGCCTGCTTCCCTTCCTTTCTCTCTGCCTGCCTCTCTGCCTACTTGTGATCTCTGTCAAATAAATAAGTAAAATCCTTTTAAAAAAAAAAAAAGATTAAGTATATAGCAACACAAGCCTTTCTGAAGAAACAAGAGAGGTCTCAAGTACACAACCTAACCCTACATATAAAGGAGCTGGAGAAAGAACAGCAAAGAAAGCCTAAACCCAGCAGAAGAAGAGAAATAATACAGATCAGAGCAGAAACCAATGAAATAGAAACCAAAAGAATAGTAAAATAGATCAATGAAACTAGGAGCTCATTCTTTGAAAGAATTAATAAGATTGATAAACCCCTGGCCAGACTTACCAGAAAGCAAAGAGAAAGGACTCAAATTAATAAAATCTTGGATGAAAGAAGAAAGATCACAACCAACACCAAAGAAATAGAAACAATTATAAGAACATATGGGCAACTATATGCCAGCAAATGTGACAATCTGGAAGAAACAGATGCATTCCTAGAGACATATAAACTACCAAAACTGAACAAGAAAGAAATAGAAAACCTGAATAGATCCATAATCAGTAAGGAAATTGAAGCAATAATCAAAAATCTCCCAAAAATAAGAGCCCAGGGCCAGACGGCTACCCAGGGGAATTCTACCAAATATTTACAAAAGAATTAATACCTATTCTCCTGAAACTGTTCAAAAAAAAAAAAAATAGAAATGGAAGGAGAACTTCCAAGCTC